CGTCTAGTCGAGGGACTAAAACAAGAATCCAATAGATGAGAATTCAAATTCCAATTCAATCAGGAAAGATAGGATTACAGGAGAGTATATCTGAAACAATCTCTAACTGATCCTATCTAACAGGTTATTAACAGAAGACTTATTCGAACCACATATAATAACTATAGGTTATAAACATAAACAAAATAATAACACTAATATTACTCACGCACCCCCTCAAGCGGACGGTGATAAGGACACAACGTTCAGCTAGTCTCGAAGAGTAATAAACCTGGGCCCTACAAGTGGATTGGTGAAGATGTCTGCAAGCTGATCCTTCGTCGATACAAAATTAACCACAAAGTCACCACAGGCTACCTTGTCTCGAACAAAATGGTAGTCTATCTCAACATGCTTCGTCCTGGCGTGAAAGACTGGATTTGCACAAAGATATGTTGCGCCCAAATTGTCACACCACAACGTCGAGGACTGCCCAGAGTGCAATCCTAACTCCCGAAGAAGAGAAACGACCCAAGTGACCTCAGCTGCCACATCAGCTAAGGCCTTATACTCTGCTTCGGTCGAGGAGCGCGCAACTGTCCGCTGTTTCCGTGATAGCCACGACACAAGGTTTGTGCCCAAAAAAACTGCATACCCACTGGTGCTCTTCCGATCGATGGGACAACCAGCCCAGTCGGAGTCAGAATAAGCGTGAATGGAAGTAGTCGGTGAGGAAGACAGTCTCAATCCATAGTCTAACGTGCCCTTGACGTACCGTAAGACACGCTTAACCATGCCCTAGTGGTCTTCGGTCGGAGTGTGCATAAACTGACATAACCGGTTGACGGCATAAGACAAATCCGACCGAGTGATCGTGAGATACTGTAAGGCCCCAACTATCCGGCGATATTGCGTGGGATTATCAAAAGGTTCAATTGACGGAGTAACCGGCTGAGTCGTCGAGGCAGGAGTGGATAAGGGTTTGCAGTCTACCATACCAGCCCTGTTCAGAATATCATTCATGTAACGCCGCTGAGACAGAATAACCCCTGCTGAAGTGTCAACTGTTTCAATCCCCAAGAAAAAACTGGGTTTCCCGAGATCCCGGATCTTAAAAGCTGTCGCAAGACGGGACAACAGCGTGTTAATAAGTGTGGCACTGCTCCCAAGCATAATAATATCGTCTACGTATACTAGTAAAAACACTTGGCACCCATCCAGACTGTAGTAGAAAAGAGATACATCCGTCTTCGTTGCGCTAAAACCAGTAGTAAGGAGAAAGTCTTGCAAGCGCTTAAACCACGCCCGTGGTGCCTGTTTAAGCCCATAGAGAGACCTCTGTAAGTGGCAGACATGGTCTGGATGAACCGGATCTTCATACCCTGGAGGCTGTTTCATATACACAGTCTCAGCTAGATGTCCATTCAGAAAGGCATTGTGCACATCCAACTGTCGGAGCGTCCACTTGTTGGTTATAGCCAAAGAAAGAAGAAGACGAACAGTTGTCGGTTTAACAACTGGACTGAATGTGTCGAAAAAATCTTCCCCGGCTACTTGATTGTAACCCTTAGCCACAAGCCGTGCTTTATACCGTTCGACTGACCCATCAGCAGCCCATTTGGTGCGGAATACCCATTTGCATCCAATAATATTCATCGTGGGACTAGGCGGGACTAGACTCCAGGTATTGTCATGTAAAAGGGCATTAAACTCTTGATCCATAGCATCCCGCCACTGTGGATGTCCAACAGCTTGGGAATAACAAGTCGGATCAGCTGAAAAGGCTGTGAGGGCCTGAAAATCTTCAGCAGTACCCTGAGTCTGACCACGGAGACGCATGATATGAGCTCGTTCTTGTGGTTGAGCCCGACCCCACCCCCGACCTCGTGGCCGACCCCGCCCCCGAGTAGCTGGAACAACGGGTTCTATTGCTAAAGGTGGCTCTTCTTGAGCAATAGGACGGGCGTCAGAGTCTCATGATACTGTGACATTGGGTTGCACCATAGGCTGAGTATGAGCGGGCACAATAGGGCCAGATGCCCACGGTACAGGGTAGACCTCAGCTACACGTGGAGCTATACCTGTAACAAAAGGGAAAATGGTTTCATCAAACCGTACATGGCGGCAGACATAAATTTTCCCACTGGTTAGGTCCATGCATCTGTAACCTCGGAAAGATAGAGGGTACCCCAGGAAGACACAGGGAGTGGACCGAAACTCTATCTTATGCCGATTATAAGGCCTAAGATAGGGAAAACACAAACATCCGAAGACGCGTAGGAACTGATAGGGTGCTATTTTCTGATGTAAACGGAAATAAGGACTTTCAAATTTTAGGACCGAGGTGGGGAGATAATTGATGAGACATGTTGCTGTCTCGAAGGCAAAATCCCAGTATTGTTGTGGGACCGACCCTTGAGCTAAAAGGGCTAAGCCCGTTTCGACAATATGTCGATTGCGGCGCTCAACTCTCCCGTTTTGCTCATGCATGTATGCACACGACTGACGGTGATTAATCCCAAGGGTTTGAAAGGTGGCGTGTAGTTTGCGGTATTCACCCCCTAAATCGGATTGTATGGACTTGATAGAGCGCGAGAATTGCCGCTCTACCAGAACACGAAAAACATCAAAGGTTTTATAGATGTCTGATTTTACCCTTAATGGATAAAACCAGCAATAGCGTGAAAAGTCATCTACAAAGAGAAGAAAATAGCGGAAGCCACTAGACGAGATAACTGGTGCAGGCCCCCAGATATCCGTGTACAATAAATCAAGTACAGTATTGCTAGAAGTATTGAGTCTATCTAATGGAAAACGACAGGACTTGCCGAGATGGCTGGCAAGCCGTACATGATTCGAAACTAACACTATTTGGTGTAACTGAACAATGTTGCAGAATTTTATTCTGGACCAATTTGTGAGGGTGACCAAGCCTGCGATGCCATATCGTGGATGTTGCCCGGGAACTGACGAATGCGAAATGACTCCGGGAAATTGGCAACTTGTAAAGACCTCCAGAAGTCAGGCCTTTAAGAAGCACCGCCTTGGTTTTGGAATCCTTCACAACGAAACAACTGTCATGAAATTCAAAAAACACAGAATTGTCTTTAGAAAATTTTTGTACAGATAAAAGGGAAAAGTTAATTTTGGGACATGTAGCACATTAGATAGAAACAGGTGTTTTGACACAGAGGGGATCGATGCATGGCCAACCCGCGAAATTTTTAAGCCTGTACCATTTCCCACTGTCAACGTGTCCGGACCAATATATTCCTCTGATGACGTTAACATTCCAGCTTTCGGAGTCGCGTGAGCCGTGGCCCCAGTGTCAGGGTACCACGCCTCGGCCGATGGTGCGGTGGTAACCGGAGTCTCGCCCGAAACGGCGACATGCGCCTGCGCGGGGGGTGGTTGTGTGGTGTACCGTTTGTAGCAGTAAACCGCGGTGTGCCCCTGCGCCCTACAAATTTGACAACGTGGGCCGCCACCACGCTGATTCGGGCCGCCACCCCGCTGATTCCGACCACAGCCACCACGCCAGTTATGCTGCCGGCCTCCTTCAGCATTGCCGTGACCACCTGTATTGCGTCCGCTACTCCCACTGCCTCGGCCAGCATAGAAGGCCGAGTGCGAACTGCTTCCTGCGCCATCTGCAAAATCATCGGCAAGAATAAAATCCGCGGCTTGCAGGTGATCCGCGAGATGTGGAAGAGAGACCGGAGCATGTGCCGTCAGCGAAGCCGCATATGCCCTGTACTCCGGACGCAAGCCCCGTATCACGTACAGATTTTGCTCGGCCATGGAAAGCGGCTGACCGGCCTGGGCAAGCGCTTCCACCAACAGCTCCGCTTTTCCGAGGTAGTCACCGGGTGTAGACCCCCCTTCCCGGAGCGCCTGAAACTGACCAAGCAGGCTTAAACACCGTGCCTGCGTGTTGGAACCGAGGGCGGTGCAAATGGATCTCCATACGTCGGCGGCGGTGTCCCGGCCAACTGCGAGATGCAGAACTTCATCTGACATCGAGGATATGAGAAGGCTCAAAATAGACTGGTCCTGGAGAACCCAGGCCTTGTGCGCCGGGTTGGGAGTTGACGGGACAGTGATTGCGCCGGAGCCCGACTCGCCGGAACCGGATGCGGATAGAAACGCCGGCGGGCATGGGGTGGTGCCGTCCACATAGCCGATGATGAGGTCCTGACCTCTGAGAAACGGGAGAAGCTGGGTTCTCCAAAACAGAAAGTTTCTCGAGGTCAATTTCATCGAGATGAAATGGTGGGCTCTGGACAACGGATTTCCGGTCGCCGGAGATGAGCCGCCGACAGCGGCGGATGGAGTTCTCTCGGAGGAGTGCGACGACATAGTCGGGGTAAGGAGGGGGTTGGGTGTTTTGCGGTGGAGGATCGTGTTTAAGCTGATACCAGATGAGAATTCAAATTCCAATTCAATCAGGAAAGATAGGATTACAGGAGAGTATATCTGAAACAATCTCTAACTTATCCTATCTAACAGGTTATTAACAGAAGACTTATTCTAACCACATATAATAACTATAGGTTATAAACATAAACAAAATAATAACACTAATATTACTCACACAATAGTTGATAAATGCACCATTTATTGTAATTTTGTCCAAAGACGTTATCCTAATATGTATTTGAACTTCACTTTATCTTTCAGCTTGTAGCTTCCTGACTAAAGTTAATAAGGTCATCATTGATGAATAAGTTCTCTATTGCTTTCATACATGAGTTCATGCAGTGGCTAATGTTTATGAAGTTGATAAGTATAGTCACTTGTCCAGTCCAATCCAGATTAGTGGTGATCTGTCTCTTTGGTTGGAATTTTCGGGAGAAAATAAACAGGAAGGGTTTCTTGCTGCAATTCTTAAAGTGATACTTAAAGGTTCATCAATATAAGATGTTGTATTTTTGGTTTCCATTTGATCTGAACTATTTAGCTGTGCGTGCAGCGTGTTATGATGTTTTTCTGCTCCAATGTCACTATGGCTAAGTTGTAACAATCCACTGTTCAATTAAGTATTCTTTTACAACATATTTAAATATAATACTTTTTATTAGTTGAGAGTTGGTAGCTTAGTTGAAAAATTCAACTTTAGTGGTTCCAAACTTATAGGAACTAGGGATTTACATTGAAGGTGAAATGACACCTAGTTGTCTGGAGAGTCTTGTCCATTTACGTTGACCTGAGAGGTTAAAATTTGAAATGGGAAGGGTTGAACGCTTTTATCTCTCTAGCGGTTCTCCCCCAAACCTAAGGAAGTTGGCATTTTGTTAATACATATCTCCCTTGAGAGGATATGAGCATAATTGGCTAATTACCCAACCATGAAGTGCTCAAATTAAAAGATTTTGCATTTTGTGGCTTAGAGCGGGAGTCAATAAAATGGTGCTTTGAAAGATTAAAGGTACTTTTTATTGAGCGATTAGATCTCAAACATTAGAATGTAAATGTTGATCATTTTCCCGTTCTGGAGCTCTTAGTCTTGAGACATTGTTGGGACTTGAAAAAAGTTCTGATTACTTCTGCAAATATTAGAATTTTGAAATCAATTGTGTTAGAAAGCAATTATTCTTCTATTGTGACTTCTGTAAACAATATTTGTGGAAAAGTCCAAAGAAAGAGAGACTAGGCATTTTGTGTTTGTGATCTCGAAACTAAGGCTGGCCTCTCTTTAATTCTCATTCACAATTTGGAATTGTTAGTCTTGTGGCTTCTAATTCCATGGATTAATATTATTTTCATTTCTTGATCTCATTGTAAACTACTATGTTCTTCTCTAGGTTGAATTACCAAATAATAAAAGTGACAGTGGAATTTGTTTAGTTTGTTTTGTGATTGGGGAAACCTTGCATTCTGCTTTTGAGGAAGAAAAACAACAGAAAAAGTCTCTTGCCAGTTGCTTCAATTCATTTCCCGTGGATCGTTTTCATTTCGTTTTGTGAATCTATACGCTCAGACTAATCTTGTTTGTGCCAGCCAGGTAATACCTAAATAGTTGTCACGGAATACAAATGTTCAAAAATTCAATTATACTGTAGTTTTTTAAGTGAGATAATTCAATCTCATATTCAGCCATTCAGGTGTATTTCAGTATCTTATTTAAGCAGTATCCCTTAAACCTTTTTTTTTTTTCAACTTCTTAAATTTCTCATCAATCAAGTGAACATGGAATCTTCCTTGAAATTTAAATTTTATTTTAAAAAATCCAAAGATACCAATCATACCATCAGTTGACTTTTGAGTTGGTGGTTGGGTGTAGAGTGTAGACCTTAATTTCCAGCATTAATAATTCATCAGATAAGATCAAATCTCTCTTCTCTCTCAACTCTCATCCTCAATCTTTGCTCGCTCAATTCAGAAACAGCTGAGTTTAGTTCAATTAAGTTTCCATTATTTTCTGAGATTAGTTCAATTATTTTCTCTGGTCTACTCCATAACTCGATCAGACCATCTCTATCTCATCTCATATTACCCGGCCAAACTCCATCTCCGATCCATCTTCATCAACCTAATTGAGGTATGCATATATGTTTCATACTTTCTCCAACATCACTCAATTCCTTTTCTGCTATCATATATATAGGGAAGGGTTCAGGTGCGGGGATGGCATTCTGTGCGATTGTGATGTTGAGGCATTTTAAGTATTAAAATGAACACAAACCACGCACCTTAAAACACAAACAAAGCACCTTAAGAACACAAACCACGCGCACCTAAAGCTTTAGGCCGACGAACCTTAAGAACACAAACAACGCACTGACGCACCTTAAGCATACAAATCAGGTATATTAAAAGAAAAACCATGCACCTTAATAATGAAAACCTACCACGCACCTTAGCAACCGCACCAGAAAAGGTCAACCGCACGAAACCCATATATATGTATGTATTCATGAAGTCTTGGGCTCTGTTTGGGAGATCGGTGAGATTACATATATTGGTAAAATGGTAAGAGCTGTAAAAATCATTTTATTTTCATTTGTAATATAATAGATTTAAAAAAATTTCATACAAACAATTAATATATAGCAGATTTATATGCAATATATATGCCTTTAGAATTTAAATATAATAGCCCCTCAGTGTACAAACAAATTAAAAACTTCTAATGGTTCCATATTTTGTCGAATCACATGAAGTTTAGAAACTGGAAGATGCAATTAATGGTTTTAACCCATCTTGCATTGCATGCACCAGGCCACCCACTACACCAAATATGGCATTTAGCGGCAGTTACAAACTGTCACGATTGTGTTTTCTGTGTTATTCAACCGTAACTAAATAGTGTGTCGGATTTAGCGGCGGTTTTCTAAAACCGCCGATAATATTTATTTAATATTTACTTTAAACTTTAATGGTGTAAAATAATACCTTTTTAATTCCAGCTAGTGTTATAAGCATTCCATTTAATTTCTTTGTCAGTAAAGTACGAAATTGAGACTAATAAGTCTGATATGAGTTCCAGAAACACTTTAGAGAAGTTCATTCAATGGATTTTGATGCTGTAACCACTCTAATCAAAATAGTAGAGGCTGCAGAGCAAGACCTTATGGAGCCCAAACTACTTTCAATTTTGTATGCTGGAGGATTAATGATTGTGCCACTGTGTGAAACCATTGAGTTGCTATCTTACAATCTCCATTTCCTGCAAGCCTTTTCGGTGGAATGTAAGACGAAAATGAATGACGGGGACACCAGGGCTCGGAGACTGTATACAAATGTCCAATATGAAGTTGCTAGAATATATGAAAAGTATAGTAAGAGACTATTATATTCGGGAGATTACTGGGAAGGGAATGTTACAGTTAAGCCTTGTGAAGATATTCATCATCGCTTGAAAAGAATAGTAAGAGATATTGAGGAAGTTAAAGACCGGATCCTGGAGGATAAAAGAAGAGCTGCTTTAGAGGCTGAGGAACAGAACATCACAATTTGGGATACCTACCAAAATGCTTTAAAGACTGAGAATGAAGTGATTGTAGGATTTGACAGTGATATAGAGAAGATAGTTAACCGGCTCTGTTATACATACATCATGAGATCAGTTTTCACCATTTTGAGGAATAATAACAATGACAAGTTTCGGAGATATGTTGAAAATGTAGTGCTGAAACTGCAAGTTATCCCACTCGTTGGGGAAGGAGGCATTGGAAAAACTACATTAGCCAAAAGAGTCTATGGACATCCAATTACTATTGCTAGCTTTCACATTCGAGCATGGGTAGTTGTGTCTAAAGTTCATAACCTCAAAGAGATGCTTATTGGTCTATTACATTGTATTTCACCAATCACTAGTGAAATCTACAACATAGATGAGGCTCAGATAGCTGAGAAATTAAGCAGAAGTTGGATGGGCCAGAAGTATTTAATTTGCTTGGATGATATATGGACCACCTCTGCATGGGATGCCATCCAAGGATATCTTCCAGAGAATTTTAACGGAAGCCGAATCTTAGTAACTACTCGGTTTAGAGAGGTGTCTGAAAATTTAAGTACGAATCCCTACCAAGTGAAGTATCAAACTTTTCCGGATCGTTGGGAATTATTTTTAAGGAAAGTGTTTGCGCAAAGCCAATATATTCACAGAAAATATGTGTCAATTGCGCAACACATTGTTGTTCGTTGTGGTGGATTACCCCTAGTAATTGTTTTAGCTTCCGGACTTTTGGCGACAACAAAAGGGTCTCTAGAAATATGGAGAGATGTTGCGGAAACTTTGGATGGAGTAGTTTGTAGGTATCAAAATACCAGAATAATTTCAAAAATAGTTTTATTAAGCTACAAGTACTTACCAAGTCATTTGAAGGCTTGCTTTCATTATTTTTGTGTGTTTCCAGAAGACAGTGACATTCCTGTTAAGAAATTAATCAACTTATGGGTTGCTGAGGGATTTATAAAGCCACATAACAATTTGAGTTTGGAAGAAGTGGGAGAGAGTTACTTGCATGATCTCATTAATAGAAGTCTTATTCAAAGTAATGAGCTAAGTATTGACGGCAAACTTAAATCATGTAGCATTCATGATCGAGTGCACGAGGTTTGTGTGAGAGAAGCAATAAAGTGGAACGATTTGTGCATTATCAATGACAATCATGCTCCAAAAGCTTGTCGTTGGTTAAGTTGTCAAACAAGTCACTGGCCAATCACTCGAGCGAGTTTTGGGAATTGCGGTCCTAATGAAATCCATTCTGTTCTTTGCTTTGGTAAAGATGTAAACCATTCAAAATGCAGGTTAGTATACCCATGTTTGAAATTGCTAAGAGTATTGGATTTATCATTAGTTAAATGCACACAAGGCATGCCTCGTGAAATAACAGACTTGGTTCATTTGAGATACTTGGCTTTAAGTACCATTGGTTCTCTTTACAAGTTTCAATTTTTCAAGCTTAAGAATTTAGTAACTCTCATAGTTACTTCATGGATGGAAAAATGTCCTTTGCAACTGCCATGTGATATTTTGGATTTGCCACAATTGAGGCATTTGCATGTTGACAAGAGATGTTCACAGTATCTCCCTTGCTTAGTCAAAAAAGATCTACAAACTCTCTATTGGTTGAAAGTTGCTAGCTCTGATGAAAATCCAAACTTTGGAATGGTTCCAAACATAAGGGAACTTGGGATTTTCATTGAAGGCCAACTGGCGCCTAGCTATCTAGGGAGCCTTGTGTATTTACATCAACTTGAGAAGTTGAAGTTTGAAGTAGGAAGAGTTGAGGGTTTTTATCTACCAACAGGTTTTCGACCAAACCTTAAGAAGTTAACACTTCGTTATACTTATCTTCCATGGAAGGAGATGGACACAATTAGCAAGTTGCCACGCCTTGAGGTGCTTAAACTAAAAGATTTCGCCTTTTGTGGCCCAACGTGGGAACCATCGAAGCAAGGCTTTCGGAAATTAAAGGCACTTCTTATTTCATATTCAAATCTCGAACATTGGAATGCAAGTTCTAATCATTTCCCAGTTTTGGAGCGCCTTGTTTTAAGATATTGTTGGGAATTGAAACAAATTCCAACTAATTTTGCAAAAATTGGTACACTGAATTTAATTGTATTAGAATGTTGTTATTCTTCTCTTGTGACTTCTGCAATGCATATTTCTTCTGCAAAAAGCAAAACATTAAAGGGAAAGACAGATTGTCCACTTCGTGTTCGTAAAGTTGGAACTAAGGTTTCTCTCTAATTCTTGCTCATTATTTCAAAATATTAGTTTTCTGCATTCTAATTCCATGTATTAATTAATTATTTGTTTTTTTTTACTCATTTTCAATTTCTTGTCAAGGTTGAATTGCCTATTACTAAAAGCTATGTAGAAGAAAGTGTTGAAAGCTCTGAACAAGAAAGTGTTGAAAGCTCTAATGAAGAAATGTTGAAAGCTGATAACAGTGTGATGACATATTTGAAGAAGTTATTCGGGTGAATGCATTGACGAAGAAAGTGCAGTGACTGAGGAAAGGTTATTTTGATGTGTTGCAATTGAATTCGAACTTTACTTTATGTTTCAGCTTGTAAGTTAATGGCTGAAGTTTATTGCTGAATAAGTTCTCCGGTCTATTGCCTTTCATGAGTTGATGATGTTGATCTGTGCCTTTGGTTGGGAGAAAATAAACAGAAAGTATTTTTTTGGTTTCATATTGTTGACTCAAAGTGTTTTGTCAAAGTTATGTGCAAAGAGAATTCCAACTCAATGAAGGAATACCAAGCCTAGAAGAGTAGTTATTAATACTAGTTCTAAAGGGAATTGTTATTGAAGTTTTTCTAGTTCTAGTTTGATTAGGAATAGCTTTGTTATTCACGAATCTGTTAGGAATAGTTACTATAAATAGGGGTTGTCCTTTATTGTAGAATTTAAGCATTCAACATTAATCTTGTGAGGTACGAGAGTCTTTGAGAATAGGATACTAAATTCCCCTAGAAAGTAGTAAATGTGTTTAGGTTTCAATAGTTTGGTAGGAAAGATCATTCTATTGTGTAATCTCAGATTCCAAACAGTGTACTTTAAATATTGAGCTTTTAGTGGATTTAGACAAGTTCTCAAATTGAGAAGTGTCTCGCAGATTAGGGTTGTTTGCCCGAACTGCGTTACAGATCGTTTGTGTTACAACGTCATGTTCAACATCACTTTGTGCTGCTCTTATACAAATTTTCACATTTGATTTGAACAAAATAATTTCAGCTCTGTGTGTGTTATGATGTTTTTTCTGCTCCAATGGCTAAGTTGTAACAGTCCACTGTTCAATTCACTATTCTTTTACAACATATACAAATGCTTTTTGGTGCCAATTCCAATGAAACCTGCATTCATGTAGGACCAGAGTTTTTTAGTTAAATTTTTATTTGCAAATTAACTAAATCGGAGTTTTTTTCGATTAACCAATTAACAGAAATTTTTTAGCTAAATTTTTAAATCTTTAGAATTATAAATAAAAATTAACATTACTAATTACATCAATATCTATAATAATAAATCTATAAGAAAATATACAATAACAACACTACATACAAATATAAAAGCATAATTTAAAAAGTGTAAGTATAAATAATACTTAACCGAAGAACATATATATAATTTTGGTTAACTGATATTTTCGAACCAAATTAACTGTTAATCAAAATTCTATAAAACTTTTAATCATTAATCAAATCGAATTATTTCGATTAAAAAATGATTAACCAAAGCAAGACAATCTATAATATAATGAAGTTAGCTTGCAGAGAAATGTGAGAATGAAATGTTGAATAATCGCACTTATGGACTTTGAACGGTACTTATACTCGATCCATTCTTGAACTCTTCTTTTAGAGTTGAGTACTTATCGTAATCCATATTACCTTATTTGAAAGTCCTGAGTGTTATAAGAGAATAGTCAATAACTTGAATGTTAAAAAATTGAACTTAAATAATAATGTTGAATTTTGTTTTCTCAAGGACTATTAAATGTTTAAAGGTGGTTGTTACATTAATTAAAAGTGGCATAGCCAAGCACCTTGTGCTCAGATGGATCTTTGATTTCCCTTGAAGGAATGTCACATGATCGAACTCCGGTGGTTGGTATTGACTGTTTGGGCTGCAGTAGTTCCTCTATGCTCAATAACTCTTATCACATCTCATCTCATCTGATATGAGTTTCAATTTAGAAACACCTGAGAGTAGTTCAAGTTGACATACCCTTTCTCTGGTCTACTTCACAAATTCTAACAACTTAGACCATCTCATATTACCCAATTCACTAATAATTCCATCTCCATCTTCATCAACCTAAGGTATGCATGTTATTATTATTGATGGAAAAAGAAGACTATATCCCCATAATTTTAGGGTCAAAATTATCGTTTTCTCAATTAAATAGTTATCAAAGTGTACAAATATAATTGGCAAGTTGGAAATGGTGACAGAGATCATGCATATGCATTTTAATTTATTCTAACATTGTCTATTCATAATAGAACATGCAATAAGGAATGCTACATATAATAATACTCACGCCAACCATGCTAAAATTTTATAGACCAATTAAATATTACAAATGACTTTTGGTTGCTTTGACCATTTCTTTGATAAATAAAAAAATTTGAGTGGTGTCAAACTGTCAATTACATAGCTCGGCCATGCCATTTCGACTATTAATAATTTTTTATAAAATTTTTCTAGATGTAATGTTGAGATTGATTCTTAATTTTTTCATATAAACTTGTTCTTATTTGATTAAATATATATAGAGAAACACTCTAGTGAGAGCGGGTGCCCATGAGAGAAATATAAACTAATAAGAACTATCCATCCAAAAATTTCAACGGATCAGATGTAATTTAAAATAAAAATCACTTAAAATGAAACAATTTACCCTTAATAGTGCAAGTTTCAGAAATATGTTGAAAACCCTGTGCTGAAACTTCAAGTTATTCCACTCGTTGGGGAAGGAGGCATAGGAAAAATTACATTAGCCAAAAGAGTCTATGGACATCCAATTACTATTGCTAGCTTTTACATTCGATTGTGGGTAGTTTTGTCTCAGGTTCCTAACCTCAAAGAGATTCTCATTGCTCTATTACATTGTATTTCGCCAATAACAAGTGAAATCTACAATATAGACGATGCTCAAATAGCTGAGCAATTATGCACAAGTTTGATGAGCAAGATGTATTTAATTTTCTTGGATGATATATGGACCACTTCCGCATGGGAAGCTATCAAAGGATATTTTCCAGAGAATTTTAATGGAAGTCGAATCTTAGTAACTACTTGGTTCAAAGAGGTGTCTGAATACTTAAGTATGAATCCCAACCAAAGTGAAGTATCTAACTTTTTCAGAACGTATGGAATTATTCTCGTGGAAAGTGTATGGGCAAAGCCAATGTTTTCTGAATATTGGCCAATTTTGGAACGTATTGTTCTTGGTTCTAGTGGATTACCCCTAGTAGTTACGTTGTTTTAATTTCCGGACTTTTGGCGACAGAAAAAAGGGTCTCTAGAAATATGGAGAGATGTTCCCGAAGTTTGGATGGAGTTGGTAGTTATGGTGATAATAACAAAAGAATTTCAGAAATAGTTTCATTAAGCTACAAGTACTTACCTAGTCATTTGAAGGCTTGCTTTAATTATTTTGGTGTGTTTCCAGAAGACTGTGACATTCTTGTTAAGAAATCAATCAACTTATGGGTTGCAGAGCGATTTATAAAGCCACATAACAATATGAGTTTGGAAGAAGTGGGAGAGAGTTACTTGCATGATCTCATCAATACAAGTCTAGTTCAAATTAAAGACCTAAGTATTGACGACAAAGTTAAATCATGTAACATTCATGATTGAGTGCACGAGGTTTGTGTTAGAGAAGCGATTGATGGGAATTCATTGTGCATTATCAATGACAACCATGCTCCAAAGGCTAGCCATTGGTTAAACTGTCAAACAATTCATTGGCCAATCACTCGAGCGAGTTATGGGAATTGTGGTCTTGAAGAAATCCATCATGTTCTTTGCTTTGGTAAAGATGTATACTATTCAAAATGCAGGTTGGTATACCCATGTTTGAAATTGCTAAAAGTATTGGATTTATCATTAGTTAAATGATCACAAGGCATGCCTCGTGAAATAATAGACTTGGTTCATTTGAGATACTTTAAATACGAGTTTCAAATTTTCAAGCTTAAGAATTTGGTAACTCTCACAGTTACTTCATGGATGGAAAAATGTCCTTTGAAACTGCCATGTGATATTTTGGATATGCCACAATTGAGGTATTTGCATGTTGACAAGAGATGTTCACAGTATCTCCCTTGCTTAGTCAAAAAAGATCTACAAACTCTTCATTGGTTGAAAGTTGCTAGCTCCAACGAAAAACCAAACTTCGGAATGGTTCCAAACCTAAGCGAACTTGGGATTTTCATTGAAGGCCAACTGTTAGGAACATTGTATTAGGATTTTGATGATACCAATGTAATGTAGAAAGTAGACCCCTAACTGTTAGCTTTTTTGATCGCTACTTTCGTTCTAGACGAGAGTTGCCATAACTCCCATGTAATTCGTGTTAAGTTAGACATACACACGAAAATGAGTTATGTCTAGTTGTTAGGGTCTCCAAGACGAAAGAAGACACGAGGCAAGATGAACAGCAACAAGAATTTATGAGGAGTTGTCAACTACCTCGAAAGGACATATTTATTAAAGACGATTCTCTTCAAGCATTCTTTCTCCTCAACAACGAGAATAATGTTTCATCTGTCTGATTTGACAACATCCTAGGAACATAAGGATCTCATCTAACGGGGACACGTTTACCAAGGAGCATTAAATGAAGATGTGCCATTTCCTGGAGCTAAAGGACAAAACCCTAATGCTTCCCACACCTTCAACGGCTACATGGTACAACCTCATTAATGGAGCATTTAATGCATGGAGCTCCCCGGTCCTTATCCACTGGCTAAAAGGTTCGAAAATTTCATCTCCCTCCAACGGATGAATTTTCATCACCTATATAAACCTACCTTCATCAACTAAGAAGGTGCTGGTTCAACTTTCACTCGATCTATTTACTTGCAAAAGCTCTTAAACGCTCTCAGTTCTCTCAAGCTTTTGTGAACCAGTGTTAAGGTGCTAAGATATTTGAAGAAGTTCATTGATCATCATCTATCACCTTAAGGAAGTCTTGCCACTTGCACGAAGAAACCATCTCATATAATCAAGACTTCATCAAGTTGGAGAAATCAGAAATCATTTTCTACCAACCTCAACTCTGAAGAAGAAGTTGATAGAGGCGGAGTAAACTCGAGGAGTTGAAAAACCTACGAAGGCTGTCCGGCTTAGTGATCAAGGAAGTCTTTGTGTAATTGTACTAACGAGTGATAGTGCAATCCTTCCATAAGTTGTGGAAGAAGAGTGGAGTAGGCAACGTTAGCCGAACCACTATAAAAACTCTTGTCTCTTTATCTCTTTACTTATGCATTTCATTTCTGCATCATATTAACCTTATCATCATTACCGAAAGTTCTCTTTTAAACGTAAACTCGTGCAAAGCAAATAATCGAATCTGACATATCCGCTGCGCCAAAACACCGAAAGGCGTTTTTA